TGTTACCGATCAAACTTATATGATGAAAAAAGAAAGAATAATTGTGAAAGTGAATCCTCATTAAACTAATATAAATTTATAGGCAAAATAAAGAAATTTTATAAGACACATAAACTTATAAATTTAAATTGGAGGTTATGAATATAAAAATTATGAGAGTCATGAATATTATTAAAAGTAAAAATTAAAGAAGGGCAAGTCATGGGTAGTAACTCCTAGTGAATAAATTCAAAAATAAAAATACTTAAAATGTAAAATAATAATAACATGATTTCATGATTAGAAGTGAGATAAACAAATAGAAAAAAATATAGAATTTTTTTATTATTATAAATGTTCATACATTAATAAAGTATTTATTTGTATATTTGTATAAATGAAGTAATATATTTTTACAATAAAATAATTATTTTAAATTAAAAAAAGTCAAAAATAAATAAATTATGTTTCTCTTTTAATTATAAGTGAGATAAATAAATAAAAAATATGAAGAGTTTTTGTTATAAATGACCTACCATTAATAAAATATTTATTTATAATAAATTTAAGTAATTTTTTATGACATATAATAATTAATTTTTTTTAAAAAAAAAGATGAAAAAAACTAAATGCAAATGGAGGCCATATAGAGGTGCCACATTACCTCCTCTATGGTCCTCATTTATATATATATATTGATTTGGTTATGACATTGTATATTTCTATGCAGTTTACATTTTGAATTTTATTTTTCAACTAAAAAAAAGTTGAAAAATATATGAATTATTTAAAATTGTTATTTGCAAAATAAGTTATATACTAAGCATTCTGAAATATATGTGTAATATATGTTTTTCATAGTATATATAATATTAATCAGATTATTGGTGAAACACATATATACAAAAATAAAATATCTTATATTTTGTACTAAAAGTGAAAAACAAACAAAGTTGAATTACTAAAATAAACTTTAAATTGGTGATAAACATTAATACCCTTTAAATTAGTATACATATTTGAAGAACCTTATTTATTTGAGTTTAATTAATAAATTATTATTTTTCATTACTTATAAGCTATCTTAAAGTCTTCCTTATTATTCCATTTGTTAAAATTGTTCTATTACTTATATTGAGAAGCTCAAAAATTACTATCTTGATTATTCAAACTTTTCATAGTTATAATAATGTTGAAAAAAGAAAACTACCAGTCACTATATTTAGTATACACATATATGAATATTTTTTTTTGCTTCAACTAATTCTTCATCAGTATCTCAATTTTTATTGTTGATTTTGAAGATTTTTGTTTCTGCTTATGTGTGATGCAACCTTTTTTTTATATATAATTTTACAATATAATCTTCAGAATCTGTTTCTTATTTATCTCACTTCGTCTCTATCATTTTATGTTTCAACTATTTAATGAAGTATTACAACTGATAGTTTATCATTTTATATTTTTTGATTTTGATCGTGCAATATTGCATTTTTCTTTTTACGTTCTGTAGTCTTACTATACATTTATGTTCCTTTTTTATTTACTAAATTTTTGGGAAAAAAATCATGAGTTTGGGTCAAATCAAGACTCACATGACTTCTGATCGCATTTGAATTGATAATGATGGAATTCAACATATGTATCAATTTATTTTTTATTTTTCATGCATAATCGTTAATTTTATGAGATAAATACTTTTATTATATACATATATCTATATTTGTTCGAGTATGTATTTATCCTTAAATTAGAGTATTATATATGTCAGTAAAGTAGCATCAAAGTTTGTAAGATTTTCTAATCTCATGAACTTATAGTTGTTTCTCTGTATCTTCTTTCTTTATTTTTTTTTCATTTTCAGTAAGTTTATATTTTTCTTTATCGTAGCACAGAAAAAGTCCGATAATATGTACTATTTAAAATATAGCATTTGCAATATAAAGTTTGTATTAAGCATTTTGGAATCAATGTGCAAAGCACGTTACCACAAACTAGTAAACTATAAATGAAAACTATCTATTTCTGAAGCTCTATTACATACTTGGCAAAGATCATAAAATTTAGCACATCAGTACATGACAAACAATGCAAGAAAACAACCATTGTTTAGAGGAAATTACAAGAACACCCAATAAATTTAGTCATTTCATTTAATTTAGATTTGCTTGTGCTTTGTAGAACATATAGTTGGTTGATTCAACTGCCCTGTCAAGCTAGCAAACTTAAATAAAAAAGGTTAATGCGCTTAACCCTAATTTATAGCTAATACGAGATCTAAAAAGCTACATTCTTTAAGCAATCATAATTAAGACAAAAAGTTTATATGGATACTCAACAAATAACTAAAGTCAAAGAAATTACCTTTTGTAGACTAGCGAGCTGAGACAGCGAGAAGAAAGAGATCTATTCAACTAGCACGAACGACGGAGCTTCGCTAGAGAAAGTTATTGAATCCCAAACAAAGTTGAAAACCCACAAACCTCTCTTCTTAGAATAGATGTAGATAGATTATGAGTGTCTTCTTCGTCTTAAATGAAAATTTTGTGTCCCCCCTCCAAAAGGCTTGTCTAAATAGTCAGGGAGAGGGGGTTATAGAAGGAAGATTAGGTCAAAATTGGGGGGAAATATGAGTGAAAATTGCAATGGAATTTGAAATTAAATACCTTCGTAAGGCTTGGAAGAGCTGGATTTGTACGGATCTTGTACAATTCTCAACGGATTGAGAATAGGAGCCATTTGATCTTTAGAGAAGGAAGAAGAGGCACCATAATGCTCCATAAAGGTGAAAGCAATTGTAGAGAATTTTTGGGAAAATTTTGAATGTCTATTCATATCTAATACCATATCTATATACAAGCATAATTACGGAATAAAACAAAAATAAAGCAATAAGAACATACACATGTCACCTTCTAATTTGTAAAGAACTTAACCATATGTAAGAAACTATTATTCCAACACATGTCTAACATGTGAGTCCATTATTCTAGACTGATCAATCTAACGGTTCACATTTGATCCGTCTCGTTTCTTATGTGAAGTTGAGATTACTTCACGTCACATTCAGACAAGTATTGAAGGATCTAGGTTTTATGAAAGTTGTCCGAAATATTTTTTCCCCTTCTTTCTTCTTCAAAATCTTCAATCGTTTCTTTGGAAGAATAAGAAGATGATGGAGAGTTATGAGTGTAAATAAAATGAAAGGCTACATGGATTGAAATTTTGACAGCTTAGCCATATTGAGTTAATTAGAGAATCAGCGCATAAGATAAATTAATACTAATTAATTAATAAGCTTATTAATTTTAACTAGATAGAATTATTAGCTTAAATATAAACTAATTAATTTTAAAGTTTATTTTATAAGTAAACAAAACTAACTAATAGAATATTTAATTAAGAAAAAATCTTTCTGAGATATTTTTCGAATATTTATAAAAAGTAACAATTTTATGTATAATCATATAAAAAAATATATGTATTATTTAAAAATTACCAAAATGAAAAAAATAACATTCCAATAGTATCTATAAGGAATTAATGAATGATTGGATATGGTATGATTTGAATTACACGTCTCTTTGACAGAGAAGCAAAAACCAAAAATTAAACCTTTGAGTTACGATGCACCAAAGTTTTTCTTAAATCATTAGATGATTAATGTCAGAAGTGTTAAAAGATTACAGTATGAAAATCAATAAAAATGATGAAAGCGAGAAGCATCGATAAATTTTAAAAATTTTATATAGTGAAGAACAGAAAAAAAAAATTAAAAAACAGTACACTGATAACAAATATCTCAAAGGGCAGTTATTTGTGGATAATCGAAATTTTTTGTTACCTCATATAATTGAATTCAAGGCTGAAAAATTGAGAGTAGGACATGTTGGAAAAATATTATTAAATGTATATCAAAAAGAGTTATTTTATATCTTGTTATATTTGGAAGACAATGGAGTATTATTTTATAAATAATTCATCTCCATAAATAACACTCTATCATTGACAATAATATTGATATTGTTTGTCAAAAATATGGATATTGCAATGTTTCCTTTTGACCAAATAAAGGAGTCTTCAATTGTCCAAAATAAATTGTCATCAATGTATTGATAACATTTATTCTCATATTTGTAACTGTTGTTGCGACATTAGTAGTTTACTTATTCTTGGCTATATATTTCTCATGAGTTCTTGTGGAGAAGGAGAGGAGAAAATATAGATTGATTCTTCTCCGTCCTAATATTCTATAGTGTTGGGTTTAATCCTAAAAAAGTCTTTGTTAGTTTCTAGCTTCTAGCTTTTTACTAGTAGAGCTTGTTGAATCCTGGGGATACACCCATATTTGATGCAATATGCTTAAGGACAATTTCTTTTGAGACACCTCGAGCTATGAGAATTTCCTATCAGAGTTATTTTTGAACTAAAAACTTTGATGAATTTGGTACAAATATTTGTGATGAAGGTATTTTCCATAAGATTTACAACTGAACTAACACATGAATTATATACATGCAACATACTTATAACCATAACCCCATAAAACAACAAAGTTGAAAAGCAATATCATATCAATCGAACATACAATCAACAAAATAGGATCTAAAACAAAAAAAAAGAGTTAGGAAGTCCAATAGATTTCACTGCTCATTGAAGAAGATGATGAGAAATTGAAAGGAAAAAAGAAAGCGGAAATAGCAGAGTTTAAGAGTGGAGGGCAGAAAGCCGGAGGGAGAAAAGTTGAAGGTGGGAATACACGTGTTAAGCATATAGATCATTAAAAGATAAAATGCCACTAAAATAGGTCCACATTCATAATACAACTCACGCAACATATTGTACAAATAAGTATTGTAATGTTAGTCTTTATTTGTTGGCTTATATAAAAGGGTAATACACACAAGATAAAATTACTCGTGATTCACACGGGATTGAACTATTTTACTTAGCTTACATGTGATCATTTGATAATATTCATATTTTTGATACATACACTACATTGCCAAGAATATTTTATCTTAAGACAAAGGTTCCTCCAAAATCTTAGAGTGAATGAGTAATAAAAATATTTTAAGTATAAGAAGAAATCTAAAAAGATCTCCATGGAAATAGTTGGTCAAAAATTTGAAGTTATAAAGAACAATATCAAAACATTAAGAAGAGAAAAAAAAGCCTCAAACAACACTGCAAAGTAAAGCAGAACACCACGTCCCTATAAGAACATAATTAACAAATGGCAAATAAAAGGGCTTCAGATCCTTTCTTATGAACCTCTGTCAATCTCTTTTTTTGTTATAGTATATTGTATCATTTATATGTTAAAAATCACCCTAAAATTGTTAATATCATACATTTTTTTCCTCATTGTCTCAGAATAGTCATTGTTATTGCTTAGGTTTCATATCACCGGTCCCAATTTATCTTGATTTGAACCCTAGTTTTTGTTATGGTTATAGTATGTAGTTATAAAAATTTAATGCAATGATCAACCAAGCAGTAGGTCACATCTGAAGAAAAGACGAGTGAATATTCTAAATCAAAATTTTGATACATAACATATTAAAATCTCACACCATAATTTTGTGAGCACTTGAGATCACAAATATCCACAAAAAATAATAATAAAAGCGAACTTACTTTCCTAACAATCAATAAGAAAAATATGTTGCTGAACATATTTTTTTAAAAAGACAGTCTCTCAGGTTGTATTCAAGTTAAGAGTTCACAAATTCAATTGAAAGAAGTCAAAAGAAAGAGTTATCACAACGAAAAAAATCATCTTTAATGATAATTAAATGTTTAATTGACACTAAATATGTATTTTTTAAGGAAATTATACTCTCTATAAATTTCCCTAAATTCTATAGTGACATTCTAATGACAATCAGTTTGTCACGCCCTGAGCCTAAACCCTAGGCAAGACTGGCACTCGAGAACCATTGCTTGCCACAAGAAAATCCTTGGTCTGACATACTTAGTCAACGGAAGACTTAAACATTAGAAATAACCTCAAAGTTGCTAGTCAAGTCTCATAGCAATAAATCTGAAATACAAAGATAAAAGATTCATAACTAATTGCTGACTGTCTATAAAAACTCTAAAACAACTTCGATGGATGTTGGAAAAAAACTCCAAAAATCCTAATGACATGAAAATAAAATTGAAAACAATAAAAGGAGTCCTCCGAAATGCAAAGAGGCTCACCAACAGACTCTAAACTGCTCACTTGATCAACGATGCACTGGATGTCGATCCTAGTAACCTGTGTCTGTATCATAATAAGATGCAGACCAACGAGAATCAATATATTAAATGTATGAGTATGCGAGTTGGAATACTAAATATAACATAGACTTGAAAGCAATATGAAGAACTTACCTGACTCAACTGAACTCATTTCAATATAAAGTAGTTTTAAAACAAGTGTGATAAAGAAAAAATTATTTAAAACATGATATTCCACTACATATGTATGCAGAGATACAATATAACTCTGAGATGTATGTAAAAATACAAAGAAATTGTGCACATAAGATTACAATTAATTCTGTGGGAGTTTCTCTAACCGATAATCATCATTTAAGATCTATAGTGATGATACAAAGTTTTGTCTCACGCTGCCAGGTCCATCCTATACCTTGATATAAGTATAGAACCTGAAATTTTAAGTGGATCCACTAGTCTATCCTAAAAAAGCGCTAAAGTAATCATGTAAAAAGTATGGTCTTTTTGTATCCATAGTGGCTATGGGGGTTATGAGTTGTCTGAACTCTCCCCATATCTGTGCTCAATACTACTCTCAAAAATATTCATTTATCTCATATATTTTAAAAATATACTTTCTTCTCTGATTTGAGATTAGTGCTAAAGAACATAGCTCAAAGGCTACCTTGGAAATCAAAGTTGCCCCTCCTTTTTTATTATGAAAACATATCCTCTTTTCTAAAAACTAGCTCAAAAGCTCTTTGAAAATATCAGTTTCCGTTCTTATTTAAATGTGAAAATATTTTAAACTTCTAGAGTACTTAGTTCTCATATACTTCTTTGAAGAAATGAACTTCAAATCTGAACTTTTTGCTTAACTTTAAACTTAAGTCTTAAAACAAAGTTAAAACGTTTGTGAAAGATTTATAAACTTTTAGAACTTATCTTGACTTCCAAGAGTGGACTCTTACCTTTCCTTAAATTGAGTTATGGATTCAAGGATCGTGATTTGCGATAGGAATGATCTCATGATGTTTAGGAATAATTTTAGATAGCTAAACATAAGAAAAAATCTAAAATAAAAATTTGCGGGTGGGTCCACGATGCGAAGAAGCATTTAAATTTTGGTTTAGAAAATAACTTTTGAGGCTGAAAGGTCGGTGATCGCTCTTCTCCTAGAAATGATTTTTTCCAAAACTAGGAACCAGCTCTGCGACGTGCCCCTAAGTACCAGATTTTTCCCGTCAAATGTTAGTTCTTCGTTTTTCAACTTTAAGCCCTTTAAACTTAATGGATTATTTCTCCAAACACTTATATTCATTTATACCATCAAATAACATCAGATTCTACTCAAAACACAGATAAAATTGTGAATGGACCTCAAGAAAATCCAATCAACACAACTAGAAGAGCTCAAACGAAACTTATCAAGAACTCAAAGATTTACTTTCAAATCTAATAACTTTGCTAAGATTGAATCATGATTGGCACGAGGGTGAACTAACCAAACTCTATGTGATCTCACATACCTTTGTCGGTATAAACCCCGACGAAATCCACAAGCTGATCTTGACGAATCCTAAAGGAATCTTGAACATTCTTCCCCTTTTCCTCTTTTCTTCTTTCTCCAAACTCTTGCGTGAAATTAACTTTTCTAAGATAGACTAAAATATGACTTTACCCCAATTAAACTCCTAAAAATGAATTAGAATAATTAGGTAAGGAAAAGACTAAATTATCTTTAAAAAATCCAGATTTATACTTTTCTTAAT